TAGATTGGTGCAGATTATGTGTCTTCCAATTTTCCATTTAACAACAATGTCTTCAGGCTAGATAACGGGGAAATGATAAGGATCAATTCCAAGGAAAATATGCATAAATGAAATGCGTCAGCACTGTCAAAGTAACACGTTATTATTATATATGCAAACCACAATCAAAACAACTGCATCACCCGACAGATGGAAGTCAGGAACAAAGGAAATAATTCTGGACCATGTTATGTACATTATATCTGATCCGGTGGTTCATTGAGACATAACTAATGACTGTGAGACTTGAACGAACAGTTTCTCCCTCTGCAAGGTTCTTAAAATTGGTATATATTTGCGTGTTAGTGTTGTAAACTTCCTTAATTCTCTGGATTTCAAAAGGAATAAAAATATTGAAATTATCAACTTCCCAGTACCTCTATATTGATTGCAACAATATAAGAAAACTTAGTTCACAAGCAGTACATTATTATTCACAATGTTTTTTAAGTTTTTACAACTGGGGACAAAAATAATCAGGTTGCTGCTCATTTTGGGTATAAATAACTGTACCGTTTTTTTGTCAATTTCAATCGTATATATCCTGCATACAAAGAAAGGGTCTGGGTGCGCTTACGTTAATTTGACTCATTTTTTCAATCTATTGTTTTGTGTTGTATATAGGGGTTCATACTATTTTCTAGAGATAAATTGAAAAATATAAAGTGTAATATTTACAGTCATTAGATTAACGAGTAATGTACACCACATGAATGTTCGGACATACAGCACATCGTTTGCCTCCTTAATAGGAACTCATTTCATCGTTAGAATTGTAAAAATGACATTTTATGAATGTGTAAAAGTTCAGTAAATTTGTAACTTTAAAGAGTTATATTTGACAACTGTCATCGAGATCGAGATACCGGAAGTTGGTATAGTGTTTGGAACTATAGCAACAGCGGAAATGTTCCGAGTAATTTTGCGCGACTATTGCACGTGCACATTACCGTGTTTTTGTCTATTTAAGCCGGTACACTTGTGTGCCTCGTCAGTCAGAATAAAAGTCTTGACAGGACTGGTTCGGCTCACTTCTTATCTACTTTAGGAGTAGCTGTAGGTTGGGGTCTCAACCGCAATAGGAGTAATGTTAGCGTGGATAGTTTACCAGTCACAGTACTAGCAGTAGTTTCTCTGTAGCCATGTAGTATTTTTTGTAGAGGTTTAAGAGTCGTGATTTGAACCATGTCGTAGGCATAATAGGCATATGGCCGTGTAACCGTCAGTATATCATTTCGTCGTCTATGCAATAGGCATATGGCCGTGTAGCCGTCAGTATATCATTTCGTCGTCTATCAATAGGCAAAGGGCCGTGTAGCCGTTAGTATATCATTTCGTCGTCTATGCAATAGGCATATGGCCGTGTAGCCGTCAGTATATCTTTTAGTCGTCTATTCAATAGGCATATGACCATGTAACCGTCAGTATATCATTTCGTGGTCTATGCAATAGGCATATGGCCGTGTAGCCGTCAGTATATCATTTCGTCGTTTATTCAATAGGCATATGGTCGTGTAGCCGTCAGTATATCGTTTCGTCGTCTATTCAATAGGCATATGACCGTGTAACCGTCAGTATATCATTTCGTCGTCTATGCAATAGGCATATGGCCGTGTAGCCGTCAGTATATCGTTTCGTCGTTTATTCAATAGGCATATGGTCGTGTAGCCGTCAGTATATCATTTCGTCGTCTATTCAATAGGCATATGGCCGTGTAGCCGTCAGTATATCATTTCGTCGTCTATTGAATAGGCATTTGGCCGTGTAGCCGTCAGTATATCATTTCGTCGTCTATGCAATAGGCATATGGCCGTGTAGCCGTCAGAATATCATTTCGTCGTCTATTCAATAGGCATATGGCCGTGTAGCCGTCAGTATGTCATTTCGTCGTCTATGCAATAGGCATATGGCCGTTTAGCCGTCAGTATATCATTTCGTCGTCTATGTAATAGGCATATGGCCGTTTAACCGTCAGTATATCAGTTCGTCGTCTATGCAATAGGCATATGGCCGTGTGGCCGTCAGTATATCATTTCGTCGTCTATTGAATAGGCATATGGCCGTGTAGCCGTCAGTATATCATTTCGTCGTTTATGCAAAAGGCATAGGGCCGTGTAACCGTCAGTATATCATTTCGTCTTCTATGCAATAGGCATTTGGCCGTGTAGTCGTCAGTATATCATTTCGTCGTCTATGCAATAGGCATATGGTCGTGTAGCCGTCAGTATATCATTTCGTCGTCTATGCAATAGGAATATGGCCGTGTAGCCATCAGTATATCATTTCGTCGTCTATCCAATAGGCATATGGCCGTGTAGCCGTCAGTATATCATTTCGTCGTCTATTCAATAGGCATATGGCCGTGTAACCGTCAGTATATCATGTTGTCGTCTATTCAATAGGCATATGGCCGTGTAACCGTCAGTAAACATTTCGTCGTCTATTCAATAGGCATATGGCCGTGTAACCGTCAGTATATCATTTCGTCGTCTATTCAATTAGCATATGGCCGTGTACCCATCAGTATATCATTTCGTCGTCTATTCAATAGGCAATTGGCTGTGTAGCCGTCAGTATATCATTTCGTCGTCTATTCAATAGGCATATGGCCGTGTAACCGTCAGTATATCATTTCGTCGTCTATTCAATTAGCATATGGCCGTGTACCCGTCAGTATATCATTTCGTCGTCTATTCAATTGGCATACGGCCGTGTAACCGTCAGTATATCATTTCGTCGTCTATTCAATAGGCATATGGTCGTGTAGCCGTCAGTATATCATTTCGTCTTCTATGCAATAGGCATTTGGCCGTGTAGTCGTCAGTATATCATTTCGTCGTCTATGCAATAGGCATTTGGCCGTGTAGTCGTCAGTATATCATTTCGTCGTCTATGCAATAGGCATTTGGCCGTGTAGTCGTCAGTATATATATTCAGTTAGGCCTTGTACCACCTGTAAATAAAGCCATGTTATTGATGTATGTGTGTGCTCGAGTGAGTGACAGCATGGTCTAAACTCATGTCACGGTGCGTAGATATTTCCATGTCATTAATAAACTACCTGAATGTTATATTTCGGTGTCTGTGTTTATTTGCCAAACTTCAATCATATCAGACTGTAATACCCTAACGGACCCAAGATCACCGAACCTTGGTGTTGGTTTTGAAGTGGAAGAAACGATCCTTTTACAAATGTAACACTTTAACTTTTACCTACACAAGCTAGTGACGACGGAATAAATCATTTAGATAGCTAAAAAGCTCGCATATCCAACTCACGATCGAAGTATCCTGATAAAACAGAAAAGAGCTGTGTAATCTAGGAAAGTATCTGCAATCAAGTTGGTTAGAACGGTCTAGATTCCAACCTTAGGTTATTGTGTTTTCTCTCACTCTGATTGATTACATATGAGTACTTGTTTATCTCCAGGTTTACACATATGGTTTTGTCCATCCCCTGACTACACCACTGTATACTAATTGTATGCCTGTTTTTTGTTTTTGTAATTAACATATTCTTTATTGAGCCCCGGTTGATATTATGCTAAGAAAATGTTGTCACCTCATCTGTTAATTTAAAGCATTATACTGTCCATTTATAGGTACTTTATATATATGCGATGTACAAGCTTATGCTTCATTCATGATGTTATAATTATTAGGTATTTCATATCACTGATGTATCTGAACAATCAGACAGTGTTGAACTTGTGACGTCACAGATGTAGGCGACCCGTATCGAGGCGATCGCCACTGAGCCACAGGTGTGTTTTTCAGATAAATATCAATATCTCGGAAACGAAGTCAACTACGACATTCGCACTTTCTTAGCCTTTTATTGTATAATATGAAGTATTTTCATAGCTTGATATAGCTAAACGTTCAGGGTACACTTTAATCCTTCATGTCAGTATGGTTGCTTTCTGGGCATCATCTCCCTCATTCGATGCACAGGGACCTGCGAATTTATTACAGCTATATTTGGACATAAACTAAGGTGTTTAGAGTAATTTTACACGTTTGGGGGGTTTAGATCGATTTTGATCATTGGGGGTGTCATTTTTACCAAAAGTCGAATTAAACCCCTAAAACATGTAAAATTACTCTGAACACCTTAGTTTAGGTCCAAATTTAGCTGTAACAAATTATCAGGTCCCTGTGATTCGATGGTATGGTTAAGATCGTTTTTGGGAGATTTTATTGTCTGTAACCGAGTTTGTAACTTGTAGGTCGATCTTCTCCATGATGTTGATGGCTTGTATACTCGGCTGATTAACCAAATGCATCCATTTGTCATGGACAGATACAGAACTGAACTGTGTGCTAGGGTCTCTGTGTGTACCGTCAATGTATACATGTCGGTCCGATTTCAAGGTTGATATTTTGCATGTATCGAACAAATGAAGGTTTCAGTTAACCATTATTCTTTGCACCTCCACCACTTATAGTATCTTTAACCAACCCCCAAACCCATCCTTCCTCCTTTTTAGAACATCAAATTGAATAAATCTGAAAACGGTTCAAACATTTAATGTTGTTAAAGAATGACAATATATATGGTCTTAAAACTAACGAGGCAGTTCTAGTAGCAGCGGCGTGGGAACGTTTGTATACAAATTCGAATTGCAGAATGGGGCCAATCTAGTCGATGTATGAGTGGGGAAAGGTGAAAAACCTAACATTGTAAATCGCTAAATGTGTTTGCACTGTAAATGTCTGGCGTCATTCTCTATGTGTTTTTCTTTTAAGCAAATGTTACAAGCTTCCAACTTTGTGAGAAAATTTACAAATATATTCAATTTAATCACGGAATTAGATTGTTATCTAATTAAGTTCGTGATAAAATATATAGTTTCATAGTGGTATTTACTACAGTCTGGGAAACAAAATCCGGTATTTACTCGTTACCGTTTAGTTAATGCATCGTGGTCATTCACACGTTTGAATTTCGAGCACTTACAGAGTGATCGGTTAAGGACAAAATTGACAACGATTCACTAAAAATTGCCACTTGTCAAAATGGCATTCGGGTTGTATTCGCTCATAGAGGCAATTATACTCTGTTTAAATGCAGTATGTGTGCTTCACGAAGAAAGATTTCTAGCTAAAAGTAAGTATATGTGTTTCTTACCCATTATGGCAATGCCAATATATTCAATAACATATATTCAATATGACAATGTTCTCCTTTTTGAAGAAGAGTTAAACTGTTCAAAGTACCGGGTGATTTCGCACCATTACACATTTTTATGTACATTTTTGTATATATATACTGAACTGTATGGTTTACTATGGTGTCATGTCGTTTCGGTAACAAGACGAAAGTCGTTTCGGGACTTTTTTTCGGGTCGTTTCGGGACATGTCAAAGTCGTTTGGGGATTTTTCATTTTTTCTTCTTCTGTAGATACCATTACCAAACTAACATGTGTAAAAAATCAAGTTTATCGTATCTGTATCTGTATGGTATAAGAGGCAGATGATCCAGANGGGGGGGGGGGGGGGGGGGGGGGGGGGGGGGGGGGGGGGGGGGAGCGGCCTAGTAACAGGGTAACATGCCTGGAGAGCTGTCTTGAAGCTCTCTACTGATGACGCGCACACAATGTCGTCACTTAGACTATTCCCGTCTATTGCAGTTTTGATAAAGTATGAGTTTTTAAATTTTGTCATTTTGAATTTTGGAATGTCTAGTCCACGGTTGTTATTGGTTGCTCGCGTTTCCGAAATGAAGTCCTGATATTTCCGCGGTTTAATTTGTCGTCCTTTCCGAATGGGTTTAAATATGCTGTAGGGATCTATAGATGGAAAAAACCACTTTGTAACAAAAAGTTAATCTGGAGTTTCGTCTCCTCTCCTGAATTAGGGAAAGGTCCAAGTCTTTTAACATTTTTGTCACACACCCTTCCTCCCTTGTTTTATAATCGCCCGTGATGAACCTCGCACCTCTCCTTTGTATTCTTTCAATCCTGTTGATATCCTTCTCTAAGTACGGATCCCACACGATGGATCCATATTCCAGTACCGATCTTACCATGGCGATATATGCCACTCTCCTGCAAGATTTCGGACAGTGTTGGAGATTCCGTCTGACGAATCCGAGTGTAGAGCTAGCCCTTAATGTCGATTTAGAAATTTGAGTAGTCCAACATAAGTCTTCTGAAATTGTTAAACCAAGGTAGGGATTTTCTTTAACTTGTTGTAGAATTTGGTCGTCTAAAGTGTAAAATTTGTTGGATCTGTGACAGAGGAAGATAAGTGGCCCAATACCGTCCCCTGGGGCACCCCGGAATCTACCTTGACGTATTCCGAATGTGTACAATTGTTTAGCATTGTAATGCACCAATCTAATTACGTATATATATGTATAAACCTGAAGAGCCCTGTGAAGGGTGAAAGCAGCTAGTTTTTTAGTCGGTCGTTAATCTTATTTTTTCTGTATATATATATATATAATATTCATGGGGCAAAGAATATAATATTCACACAGACACAAATACACAGCATAAAAATATCGTTTAGAATATATTGCTGGATTTGATGAATTCATGCACATGTCTAAAACATATTCTTAGTGTTTCACGTTTTTACTTCTTTCAAAAACTTTTAACTTCAATATAGCAAAAATTGTCAAAATCAATGTTACTCACTTGATCGTCTCTTAATGTCAATAATGGAGAATAGAGAAAACATTATTACGTTATTAATTAATAATAATATTTATTCAGGTAAAAGGCAGATATTACAAGTGTATCTCATTTTGCAGATTGGACATGAATATACATATTATCACAGATGTTATTTATAAGTTATTTATGCCATAGAACTAGTATTTTATATATAATCAGTCAGGGTGTTAAAAACTGGATTGGATTTGATTAATTTAGGCCTTTACCTGGGATGACCAATAAAGCCACTTTGTGGCTTAACTCCAATGGGGTCCCTTAATAATGTGTCAGACTTTGAATTGTACATAGGAGTACGGTCACCTTCTAGCTTCAAGCTTCAAATTTCCATTTAGCTCGGTGGTAGAGTGTCCGACTAAGAACCTGGAGATCGAGGGTTCGATTCCCGATGGAAGCACACTATTTTCTTTCCTGTTACAATATCAAACGAGGAACCTATCAATAACGAAAGAAATTGAATGTTAAATTTCATAGGTTCCTCTCTTTATTTCATAATGAGATTAGTTTCACCAGGTAAAAACGTACTGTGTCAATCGAGTAAATGTTGGTAGGTATCCCATCAAGCTCTATCAATCTGGTATACGTAACACTAATGATCCAAAGCACGGGTAGGTCATGACACAGGCCATAGACTAAAACCATACTTGTGTATTTACATGACTTTATATATGCAACAGGAGCGAAATGAAATGTATAAGTGAAACTTGTATGTGTCCTGAAACATATTATGTCCTGAAATGACGTGTTACCGAAAAGATCTGTTACCGAAACGACTAGCATTCTTTACTATTTACACTGAATGATCCGCTTCGTCTCTTCTGGTCTATGTTCGATGTTGGCACAGTATTGAAAATCACAGAACATTTCTGTTGGACTGTAACAGTGTAAGACAGAAAGACTGCTACCGGAGAAATAATGATCATAAAATGATGATGCATAACACATATTTTAACTTGTTTCCAACACTTACACACATATGCGTATTCTAATAATCAGATGATTTGATACTTCAACTTCAATGGAGTACTAGATAAAAACCGTAGACGGTCATCACGCTGATGATTGACAATGTACATTTGAGTGCATTATGCTGATAATGTGTTATACATAGTTACAACATTTTCTTTCAAATGCACATTGTGGCATGTATTTTTTTTATTTATTTTTTCATTCTTTTTAAAGAAAATAACAATACCTATTCCAGATAGATCAACACAGCTGCTATTATAAGTCTGCAGCTCTGTAGCTCAACTGGCAGAGTGTACTGGACCTGCTTATATAACATGAAATTAAAATGAATTAAGGATAACATTTTAAGATAAAAGATGGGGCTCTGCAGTGAAATGAATGATATGTGTTTGGCTACCGACCGACAGGTGACTGTATAGAATCAGTGGTTGGAGTCCTGCTGCTAGCGCAACATGTTGCATTAATTTCCCTGAGTGACATGCAAAGTATGTAAATACACTTAAATCTTATTGTTCACTCCGGTGACCTGGAATTAAAGCCTTATGAAAGTCCCATAGCAAATTGAACACCTATGTTAGTATATCTTTCAGCAGGTATTCACATACATGTATGAAGGCAAAGGTGTCTAAATACTGAGCAAGTTGAAAGTGGACGACAACTGATTTAAAGTGAAGAGTTGAAAACAGGAGTAGAATGCTAAGAATTGTACACTAATAATAATAATAATGACATTAAACAAATATTTATTATGGTATGAGCAACAAAAGAAAGAAAAAAAGAATGGTGATGACAATACGTTTGTATTACTACCGTTATTAAGCTGATATTGGTGATGACAATACGTTTGTACTACTACCATTATTAAGATGATATTGGTGTTGACAATACGTTTGTATTACTACCATTATTAAGCTGATATTGGTGATGACAATACGTTTGTATTACTACCGTTATTAAGCTGATATTGGTGATGGCAATACTTTTGTATTACTACCATTATTAAGCTGATAATGGCTAGTAGAAGTGGATTTGTTTTGACTTTCACTTTAACAGAGTCGGTGCACATGGTGGCCGAGTGGTTAAGGAGTCTCACTGTCTGGATCACTATAGCCCCCCACCACTGTGTCATGACTTCGAGGCCTGCATGAGTCAGTTTCCTGTAGGTCAGTGTTGATCACTATAGCCCCCCACCACTGTGTCATGACTTCGAGGCCTGCATGAGTCAGTTTCCAGTAGGTGATGCATCAGTGTTGATCACTATAGCCCCCCACCACTGTGTCATGACTTCGAGGCCTGCATGAGTCAGTTTCCAGTAGGTCATGCATCAGTGTTGATCACTATAGCCCCCCACCACTGTGTCACGGCTTGAGGCCTGCATGAGTCAGTTTCCAGTAGGTCAGGTTTTTTTCTCCGGGTACTCTGGTTATCCTCCACCACCCAAACCTGCCACATCCTTAAATGACCATAGCGTTTAAAAGGGTGTAAAACACAAACAACCCAAACCAAAAGTTCACCTAAACATAGATAAATTGTGAACTTTGTATACATTTGCAATTGTTTGTCATTCCAGTTGGCCGGGGTACAGACCAGAGGGGTTTTGGTGAAAATCCTAGCATGAAAACACAAATACTTAACTTGATACGCTCTATAAGAACTGTGATGAGAAGTAAGTACCATGTATATCTAATCTATTTCTCCCTTAAACAGCTCTACATTTCTCCCAACCCATGCATTTTTTTCTGTTGCATATACACGTATGTGATATCTTCATTTTCATAGGGAGTCTATTTAACTCTCCTTTTTTGATAGAAGGTTGGTATTATATATAAAATATGGTATTACATTTGCTTAGTTTCTTTTCGCCCAACATCATAAGATGGTACTGTACATGGGTTGTTCAAATCAACCTTCTTTTGTGGTCTTGTTTATCCATCCTAAAACCATTTTTATTGTTAATTTTTAAGAAGAACTTGGCAGATCTATCTTAATTACATAAAATAGTTGTACATTTTTCATTTTGAAACTGGTTGTAAAAACAAGATGACTTTCAGGCAGCCATATTGAAGTTTGACAGTGAAAGTTTGGCGTTGGTATTTCTCAGGAAGTGCTTAACACATCTTTCTCAAGTTTCCTTTGTATCCATATCTTCTTCCCATTTGGTAGTTTGGCATGTTTCATTTTTGAAGATTCAAGCAGATTGATTAGAAGAAAACCCCAACTGCAAGAAATTTTAGAGAAAAAAATCTTGTTTAATAATATATTACACATTACTTTTTAATATATTTGTCAAATAACAAAAGTAATTGGAGAATAGAAGAAAAAAAAGAAGAGAAAAGATCAAACTTACATTAACTAATGTAGATCTTGCAAATGTTGGTTTCAAAGATCCATCTGCAATCACTTGTTTTATATATGTATATATATAAACTTATTTAAGTTTGGTATCGATTTATAGATGTTTGTTTTCATATAACTACATTGTATAAAGGATATGTTAAGGAAGTTGTTGTGTATATAGTAAGCTAGTTGAGGGAAAGTTAAAATGAAGGTCATTACATCAAGCAAGAAAATATTTCTTTGTCTTTTCTTTCCTTCTGCATATATAACATTGTAAAACACTCTCCTTTTTATTGCAGTACCTCTGATTGGAATAAATATCCTGGTAATTGGATTTAAATTGATTCTTGGATAACAGGACCTACAACTTTGTAACCATGGAATAGAGAAACATTCTGGTAACGTACAAAATCCGAATGTTTACACCACTGTGACCAGTAAGTGTTAGGAACCATAAAGAACATATGCCATAGATTTGATAGAGACACACACATCAGAACTGATTCAGTACTACAGACGTGATATAGAACAGCTTTACTCCTGTGGCACTGGTGTATACCTGGACAACATCTGTGATGTGCAGAAATGTCCATTCAGACGTCACTTTCCTCGAGTTAACCTTACTACAGCTACGGAATAGTGCTTCAAGTTAATGGGATAAAGTTTGGCTGTATTGTACCTTCATGGGTATAGACACAACCAGACAGTCGATGTAACAGCTACACAGTAAATATAACAGCTACACAGTAAATATAACAGCTACACAGTAAATATAACAGCTACACAGTAAATGTAACTGATATACAGTAAATAAAACAGCTACACAGTAAATATAACATCTACACAGTAAATATAACTGATATACAGTAAATATAACATATACACAGTAAATATAACATCTACACAGTAAATTTAACATGTACACAGTAAATATAACATCTACACCGTAATATAACATCTACACAGTAAATATAACATCTACACAATAAATATAACATTTACACAGTAAATATAACTCATATACAGTAAATATAACTCATATACAGTAAATATAACTGCTACACAGTAAATATAATTGATATAGTAAACATAACTGATATACAGGAATTATAACTGCTACACAGTAAATATAACTGATATACAGTAAATATAACAGCTACACCATAAATATTACTGCTATAAACAGTCAATATAGCTGCTACACAGTAAATATAACAGCTACACAGGAATTATAACTGCTACACAGTCAATATAACAGCTACACAGTAAATATTACAGCTACACAGTATATAATTATATGACTGCTACACAGTAAATATAACAGCTACACAGTAAATATAACAGCTACACAGTAAATATAACTGCTAAACAGTAAATATAACAGCTACACAGTATATATAACATCTACACAGTAAATATGAAGGTACCTTGATTAAGTAAAGATATCCAGATAGAGCTGTTTTCAAATTGGAATTGTTTTGTGATATGGGAACAAAAGCTCTATGCAAATTTCAAGTTTATTCCTGGTCAAGTTCTACTACATTTATTTTTTGAGAGAACATCTAATTACAATGTACTGCAGTTAAATACATGTACACGTCCTTATCAAACCTACTTTGTTGTTATTATGTATATAAGAATATGTGTGAGATATGTAGTCAAATGAGAGATGTTGAAATGAGTGAAGAAAAACAATTATAGTCATCATCACTCAGTTATTTAACAACTGTGTTTCACTTGACATCTGCAAATTGATGTAAGGAAATGCTTTACTTGTTCTGTAATTTTAATCCATACTTACAGTAGTAGAGCGATGTGACTGAAATGGAGGGGGGAGGGTCCTGAACCACTTCAAGTCCCCACGATTCGCCACTGAATTTTACAAGAGTGCAAAGGAAATGGATCTAGTTAAGGGGAAGTCAGCTTATAGGGGAAGAGGTGGAGGATTGTTTAAAGGGAACTCCTCAGATACTTTCATGCTGGGATTTGTATAAACATTAGGATACAATTTTAATCAGAATTATGTGAAAGTTACAAAATGCATTCAGGTATCCCTAACAGAGCCCCTTATATAAGGATATGTTATGTATTCAGGTATCCCCAAGGGAGGCCCCCTATATAAGAATATGTATAAAAGATACCATGACATTCATCTTTTTGGAGAAAAAATCCTAAATCCGAAAATTTGTTGGTTTTTTTAACAGTAAAAGGGAGCTTGTTAAGTACTGTATACAAATTAAATCACAGCAGTAATTATGAACATCACTGGTAAACTTTGGTAATTACAAGGAAACGAGGGCAGTCTCTTTTTTTATCAGAAAATGTTATCCACATGTTTTGTTTTTTAAATTTGTTCTAAATAACTTATTGATTATAAAAAATTACTCCTCGATAAATTACATGTAGCTGAGAGTTGAATAATTGTGTTAGGTGATCGATGACTTGGTAACTGTGTTACCTAAGCCGTTGGCTGTGTGTGAATGTTACATTAAAATCATCTCTTAACGTGGTGCCATTATAATGGGATGGAAGTGATATTTGTATAATCATTAGTCAAAGATGACGTGGAAGAAACTGTTCATACCATCCATTAAAAAAAGACTCAGTTACGTGCAGTTCAAAAAAGTATTTTGTTTGGTAAATAAACTTACTGAAATATATTTTTGTCTCTTTTCTGTTTCATGCCCACACATTTCCCTCATTGATGTTCAATGATTTCAGAGTTTAATAATATATATAATTAATGGCTGGTCAAGAAATCTTCTTTAACTTTTTACCGTTAAATCTGGATCGAAGTCATATGTAAACATTTGAGTTTCGTTTAATCATAGATAAATTAATATCGCTTTAACACTGCAGAGAAAGTGTAAACCAACAAGGCTGCGCTAAACAGAAACATCAGCTTCCTATGAAAGACCTATCCATTCAAGTTTTATTATATGAAATAAGGAAATAAGCGTATGCTCACGTAAATGTTTGCATTCTTTTGGACAATGTCTCAAATTAAAAGAGTTGCCTCCCCTTTACCAATTGAAAAGTAAATGAATATCAAAGTGAAATATCGCTTGTCAATATAGTAGGATAGTAAAGCGATTGACGATGTATCACAATTGTACGTAGTAATATTGAGTGTATGTAGACGTTTTCCTGATTAATTGTCAGAATCAGTCGTAACAGGATTCCCTTTTTTACAAATATTTACATCTACCATGCATGTTCCTATTCTTGTCATAAATATACTTCAAAGCATCATGGTCATCAGTGACTTCCCACAGTCCAATGTAAATTGAGTCACCGCCAGATGTGTCCAGTGAGTTACAGCCAAATGTAAATTGAGTAATTGTCAAATGTCAAGTGAGTTACAGTCAAATGTAAATTGAGTAATTGTCAAATGTCAAATGAGTTACATTCCGATATCAATTGAGTTACAGTGAGATGTCAAATGAGTAACAGTCAGATGTAAAGTGTGTTACAGTGAGATGTCAAGTGAGTAAAATTGAGATGTGTCGAGCGAGTTACAGTCAGATGTACAGTGAGTTACAGTCAGATATCAAGTGAGTTACAGTGATATGTGTCAAGTGAGTTACAGTGATATGTGTCAAGTAAGTTAGTGAGATTTAAAGTGAGTAACAGTGAGATGTCAAGTGTGTTACAGTGAGATGTCAAGTGAGTTACAATCAGATGTCATGTGAGTTAAAGTGAGATGTCAAGTGAGTTACAATCAGATGTCATGTGAGTTA